CTGTGGAAACTTGCATGCAAGTATCTGTGCATCCCAGCATCATCTGTTCCCTGTGAAAGGGTATTTTCCAAAGCTGGGGAGCTGGTCAGCCAGAAGAGGAGCCGACTGAAGCCTGCGACAGTAGAAAAAATTATATTTCTCAATAAAAACCTGTGAAAACAACTAACTAGTCTGCTTCTGTGAATAATCATTCCAAATCAACCATACAAGTCCCCAAATGACAAACCATTATCTTTAAATGTTTTCCTTAAACACTTCACACACTTCACATACAAAATGTTTCTGAATTCAAACACCATGATCATTTGCAAAGTAGAAGGATCTCTAATCCTGTTAGGGGCTTTTAGTACAGTATTTAAATAAAGCTCAAAGCTTGAAATTAACCCTTAACCAACATTTAACCCTTAATATAATTTGCATTGATTGTTTGGGTTAATCTGGAATGTGTTTTACAGTATGGGGGAGAGCATCTGCATATTTTATTGTAATGACGATATAATCATTATTTGGTATGAATGAACAAAACACTTGAATGACCACACAGACTTTTCTGAACTTTTATTGCTGTCATGGGATTGAAACAGTGCCAGTGCTTCAGTCGTGCTCTTTAGAGGCTGCTATGGCTTCAGTTGTCCACCAGATGTCACCGTCACTGAAGTCTTGAAGCTTTGAATCGTTTTCGGCACAATTGTTAGGAAAGTCTCAGTGCTTCATGAGGCTTCACTTGCCCACCACTAGGGAGTTTGGGAGAAATGTATTGTTTATTTGTTGGTAGTTTATGTTAGAACTTTATTTATCAAGTTATGTTAATTTCTTTACATTTAAAGGAACTATTTAGTTGAGAGCAGACTGTCTGTTTAGTGTTTATTAGTTGATTATTTTGGTAGTGTCTTTAGTTTATCCCTTGTGTGTGTGTTATTGTTTTGATCAGCCAGTATATATGTTCCCTTGTGTGTGTGTCATTTGTCAGGTCAGTTGGTTTTTGTTGAGGTATCAGACAGTTCAGTTTGCTGTATTTTGAGTTTCCTTATCTTTTGTTGACCTCTTTTAGGGCCCAATTTATCTGATGCTAATTTTGTATTTTTCTTACTTTTGGGTTAATAAAAAGGCCTTTATTTTGAACTTTGGAAGCTGTGTCTTTTGCCTTACTGCTTGGTCCCTGACAAGCAGGTTGAACAACATATAAAACTAGCTGAATATGTAAGAATTTTTACATGTGTATAGTAAAAACTGTTTCACTTTACAAATTTTTGCAGCCTCCAAGTACACACTGTCAAATATCAGTTTGATAGTAGTATGCTTTGAACCAAAGAAGGTCAGAAGCTAAAAACGTGCTTTAAACCTGGCTTCCATACTGTATATACTTGTAAATCAGAGCTTTTAATGGGAGTCAGTACACAAAAGTACACGTTTTATTATAATGTACAATGACTCAAGCTAATGAAAATGGCTACTTAACAGTAACCTTTAGCAAGCAAAACTGTTAAACTGTTATAGTTTAATGGACAAAAGTTAAATAAAATGTGTCCTTAACTTGGATTTACACTACAGTTGATTTTCTGGGCAAATGCTTAATTTTCAGTCATGCTGTTTTCAGTGCAGCAACTGCAACCTGGGGGGTAGGGGGGTGGATGGGGGAGCCAAAAGACGGCCGGAGCTCACCGTGGTGGTTTTGACTCGGCCTCCGGGCTGTGTACAAGTCCAGCCAGATTTATTGACTAACAGGTCACAGCCTTCGTCCTCCAAACATGGCACCATCTCACACCACTGCTTTTTCCGAACAATACCAGCTGCAGAGAACAAACACACAGAGAGAGAGAGAGCAATTTGAAAAGTGAGAAATAAACAGATGAAGAGAAATGATAGAGAGGAGGATGCAGAGATGTACTGATTAAAATAGAGAAAGCGGGTTGGGGGATTACACATGGAGGAAGACAGATATGAGCAAAACATAACTGAAAAAATGATGAAAAAGAGTAGATGTGAATTTGAAAAAATACATATAAATAGAGTGAAAAACATGGAGAGGTGCAGAGGGCTGGAGTGGAGAGAGATCAGATATGTAGTTATATGAAGAGCAATGAAGTAAAGAGACAATTAGAGAGATATGAGAGCAGGGGATGACAGTGAGAGATGAGGGAAAGATGGAGAAAATCTGACAGATAGGAAAAGATGTGATCAGTCAGGTATTTAAAATCAAACATTCCAAATGGTATTTAGCAGGTATTATAGCCCTTCTTACATTCTATAAATAGGATGACATATTTTGTAAACCCTGTGCATGTCCGCAACAGGGACAAAACAAAATACACACTTGTCATATACAGTTTTACCAATCAGTGTTTTTAACAAAATATTGCAGTTTGTACATTTTTGAACTTTGTCTCAGTCTCCTCAGCTTTATTTAAGTTCCAGAAAAGCCTAAGGCCCAAGCCTGTTACTGTACAGTCACTTTGAGTGTAAGTATCACTTACATAATGATGGCACTGATAAATACAGTGACACTTGGATCTAAGTTTGGAGAAAGTGATGTTGCAGCTGCAATGAGATCTTTCAATTCAGCTACATTTTTCAAGTTACTTGTGATGGATATTCTGCACCACTTTTTGTTTGTGTGCATTTCTGCTACAACATTTTGTCCCAAAAAGTGTTGCCCAATTTCTTGTTCATGTTGCCAGCTTCTATTGTTGGTGCGGGAAGGATGCACACAGCAATGTTTCCTAAAAAAGAGTTGGCACACTCATTGCAATGAGCATTCCTTTGTCTGTCTGCATTGTTTACTGCCTATTTATAAGGCTTATTTTGCACTGTTTGCACTGTTTGTTGCTGTTAATACTGCTTATTTTGTTATATTACACTGCCTTATGCTAGTTTACTGTTTACTTGCCCCTTGCATGGAGATATGTACATACAAACTACATGTACAGAGTCAAATTCCTGGCCAATAAAATATTTTTTGATTCTGATACATGAGTTAACAGGTCAATGGATGTAAATAGTGCAAAGATAAATATACATTATCTGTGTATGTATAGTAAAGTGTGCAAATGAATAAAAGTATAGTTTAGTATTTGAGTGTAGTTTCGGTAGCCTCTGATGCAACAACAGTCAACCAGTAATACACAATCATTATCTGTTTCTGTGAGAGGCAATGAGGCAGAATGAATCATCAATGAGCATTTGAAATACACATATAAGGATCACAAACTGACCCTAATTTGTGGCTTTTGAGAAAGTGCTATAGTGACTATAGTGACATTTCAGCACCAGAATATGCTATATAATAGCATCCAGAATGAAGGCACAACTCAAAATATACAATCTTCTTGCCACTACCAAGACATAAAAGATACCCAGTGGAGATTTTTCTGTGCATAAATATTATTTCTGTAAACAAATATTTTGTTTTCATAAACAGGGTTTATGAAAATCATGGCTGTTGGGGAAAATAGAAAGGAAAAAAAGTGAATTTAAGGGTCATTAAGTGCGTGCTGTAATGAGGTGCTTTTTGGTGTAATAAGAAACCAAGCTAAGTGTCTAATCACAGCCCCTTGTGTCTCACAGTCTTCATAAATCTAACACTGCATGAAAAAAGGATTCAAGAATAAAATAAGCAACCACCTGAATATGGATATAAAAACTGGAGACAGAAGAGAGATTCTAGACCATTACAGGATATGGAAAAGATAAAAGAATAATGTGTTTACTGTGTGCTCATATATGGATGGAAAACAACACTCTTTATTAGATAGCAGTGAAAATTAGAATGAATTATAGAGTACATATAGAGTATATGTAATATTGTTTCACCATGCCATCCATGGCATATTCTCTGAAAATGTATGGGGATTGTGCTCACTTCCATATCTATAAATTTGCTCTAGGGGCACCTTCAGTAGCTGTCACAGTGTTGCATGTAGATCATCAGTGAGCACTGTACACAGTGCTAATATCTGTTCACCATAAATAATATCTATACATCATGACAATCTCTGAAATATGTAGACCTTCTCAAGCTCTACATGGCCAAATAATGAAAGCATTAAGAACACCGTGTCAGCACACAGTAAACAGTGAGCTGGAAATTGACACCAATGTAAAACATTGCTATTGTTGAGTGGATTTTGCTGACATGCTACTTGAGGTTGAATTACTTGCCACTGTAGTTTCCCTCGAGGCTAGCTGCACACAATCAATCTATAATGTGTGATTTGAATATTTTCACTCCAGGCACGTTTGTCATCAGGCTTGGTTATAGATGACATTCCTTATTAACTAGTTTGTTTTAACTACAGATGTTCCTTGGGTTCTAGCTACCCATAAGTTTACAAGGTAACCAAACTGACTATATTATCCTGGTTACCAGTCTTGTCAGTGGCTGCTTCTTGCACGCTAAACACCCAATCCATACCTTTCTGTTATCTGTCTGTTAAGGATGAAGCTGCAGTTGGTCAGCCTAGCCTAGTTCTGTCCAGTGACAAGTCACCCTTAACTAGTTGCCTGGCAAAAGCTCAGAGCCCCAAATAAACAACAGCAAACTGTAACATTAACACTTTCATTTTCATAAGGATTAACCAAGGAAAGCAATTGAGCAGAAATGAAAATTAGAAGACATATTGAAAACACACCATTCACTGAATAAAAAAAAAGTGAGATGTAATATCCCATGGTCTGGCAGATTTTTTTTTTTCAAATTCTCATTTTGCTATTTAATGCATTACTTTGAATTTGTCTAATGAATGTCAGCAGGGTCACTTATATAATTCACTAACGGGCTTTGTTTCGCTTCTGAATTACCATTTACCGGGGTGACCCTCAGCTGATGAAGATGTATAGTCCTGTCTGGTAAATGAATGTGTGTAAAAGTGGCCTCTTCAGACTGTTTGTGTTACAGATGAAATTTTTGACAGAGAGCTTTGCCACTTTTGTACCAAATCATGATTACAATCACCCATTGGCATCACTTATTTCAAATGAAATCATCATTTACTAGCCCTAAAATGCAGCTGTCCCAACTTTTTTTGGAATGTGTTGCAGGCATCAGAATGTGTTTACTTTGAACAAAGAATAAAATTGATGAGGTATCATATCCAAATAATGTGCTGCTGTATTGTTTTCAATTTAATCGAGGACACAAATGATTTAGAAATCACCATTTTCTGTTTTAATTAAATCTTTTATCTGATTTGGAGTTGTATAAGACAGCTTAATCAGTGATGACAGTCGAGACCTAAGTTATCTCAGTTGTATCAGATGAATGATATAATATTTAATAATGGAAGCATGGACAATTCAGGTTGATAGAACGGATTTGGGGTGGATAGGGGGTGGCTGTGGCTTACGAGGTAGGGCAGTCGTCTTCTAACCAGCAAGTTGGTGGTTCGACTCCCGGAGCTTAATCAGTGATGACAGTCGAGACCTAAGTTATCTCAGTTGTATCAGATGAATGATATAATATTTAATAATGGAAGCATGGACAATTCAGGTTGATAGAACGGATTTACAATTGGTTTAAGGATTGATTAATTGATATTTGTCTCATACTGACATGTTAAAATTATGACAATTATTTATCAGTGCTTTCATTTTAACAATAGATTAAATGGATATCTGTAATGTGAATGTATTGCCTATAGTGATAACCCCACAACAAATCATTTTAATTGCTTAATTCTCAACATATTTTATTTGTATAAATATTTGTTTATACTGAATTGCTCTTATAGCCATTATATAATACAGTGTAACTGAAAATGCAGCAGCTTAAATGTTGTAATTATAAAGACAGAAAAGAAGTGTGGACTTATTTGATAACACACAACTATTCAAATCTCTGTGATTTATCTTATGAACAGTCACAAACCTTAAAGACAAGTGAAGACACAGCCCCTATCTGTTACATTTGGCTTCACATCACTAACTGAACTCATCTCCCAGAAATCTCTAAGAATGGCACTATCAGTTACCATTTGACTATATCACTACAGTGGCTTATGTTGAAACATATAAGATTCAAGGGTGATATGAAATTAAAACATCCTTTAAAAGTGTCCACACACACACACACACACACACACACACAGGCAGACATCTCAGTGCACAGGCAGGCATGGACAGAAATAAAGACACACAGGTTTGATGCTGTCTGTAAAGGAAGGTATCAGCCATGGTTTCATCAGCAGAGATAAGGAGTAGAGAGGGAGAGAACATTATTACACCCTCCATGGAACACTTATTTTCCCACCAAATGGTAGATCACACTCATGTCAACAGCCAGCATCTTGGCCTAATAAATTTTGTCTAATGCCATGCCAAGCCTGAGATGGCAAGAGAAAGATGGGCTTGTGTGTGTGTGTGTGTGTGTGTGCACCTTTGTATTACTTACATTATGGGGACCGAAACCTGTTAACACACTGACATTGTGGGGTATCGGCCATCCTTGTGGGGACCAGAGGGTGGAAATCATTGAATTTTAGGGTGGCAACATGGTTTAAGGTTAGGGTGAGGGTAGGTTAAGTGTTAGGGTCAGGGCTAGGTAAGTAGTGGTTATGGTTAAGATTAGCATATGTCTATAGAAAATGAATATAAATCACTATAAAGTCCCCACAAGGAATGAAAACACAGTATGTGTGTGTGTGTGTGTGTGTGTGATTTGAGCGAAAGGGCACAGAACAGAGAACGAAAGCAGAAAAGATAATAAGTGACAACAACCAAGAAAGAAGGAAAGTAGACCTGAGGACAGATCTGATGAGATATAATAAATGCAGTGCAGCACTCTCTATGAGATGGT